GCTGGAAATAAAAAGGAGGGACCATATTACTGTAAATCAGATCATCTTTAAAGAGGATAATGGAGAGGAACTATTATTATAGTAATTATCATTCAAATAGCGAGACATCAAGACAGGGTTCGACTTCCTAATTTTAATATTAATCTAGTTATTATAGGAGTTTAATATATAATTGGGAATAAAAGAATCACATAGTTAGTAATTCATCACTGGGGTTGTCCAGATAGAGATCCATATTTCATCCCCATATATAGTTCCCCAGTACAGGTTATAACTCACGATATATTAAGGTTCCAAAAAATTCAATTAAAAAAACCCCCAAAATTGAGTTCTGTGTTTTAGTTCCATATGGGACAAGTGCACCCAGGGTATCAGATCCAGAACTTTTCTTTTGTAGGAGGGACTTTATCAAAGTCCCCCCGACGAGCTGAAATATTCCAGCAGGAAAATCCCTTTCACTTTCAAACCTTCTGTTTTAATCCCCCGTGTACTTCTTTAAAGTGTTGTGCCAGTGGGGTTCTCTTTCTCCCCTTTCTTACAATTCCTCTCCCCCCTCCCCCACCTTCTCCCACCCCCCACCCCCCCCCCCCTAGTCCCCCCCTCCCCCCCCCCTATATACCATCTTTTACATGGACATTCTATCCATGTATATTATTCCTGCTGCTGGAGCAATTAATAAAAGCTTCGTACCTGGAATGCTTAGATTTATCATTGTTAAAGAACTGATTAGACCCCCCTCACAAATGGACAAATTTGGCAGTGGCCACACAAAGGGAACATACCACATAGGCCGGTCCTCCTAGTTAACCAATTTCTTTGTGGTGCCCCCTGAAACTCTGATTGTACTAGTACCCATCATTTAAGTTTCCGAGCTCTTTTTGCTACCATTTTGGGGGTCTCCCTCTACCACTCTTGCTATCTGTGGATTTTTGAGTTAGTAAGTACCATTGAGAGTTCCAGGGCCCTTCTTGACCTCCAACCCCATTGTTGTCCAAATTTAGTTGATGAATCTTACCGGTTAATTACCGAATTCGCCCCTGCCTTAGATTTTGATTTATTTAAGCCTCATCTCTTGTTTTACCGAGGGTCACTTCTTTTTCGCCCTTCCTTAGGGTTCTAGTGCCCCCTTTTCCCCCCCTCTTGTAGAGCCCCCCCCCCCCCCCCCTTGTTTTTTAACCCTCTCTATATTCCCCTCTTCAGTAGTAACCCCTCCTAGATTTGTATTCTCTGAAATTCCTCCCCACAGTATCCTTTTTATTCTCTGAAACTGTGGGTATTCCCTGTTTTAAACTCCTTGGATGATAGCTATTAGCATGTTAAAAGTGTATGAGCCGCTGTTTTCCTTTCTAAACGTTTTAGTGACTAATTTATTTTCCGTAGATAGAGATTGATTAGATCCAAAAATGGTTATTACCTCTCTATCTGCTGGTGTAAGTAAGTTTGATATTCCTATCATTCTCATTTAAGACCCCCCATACATTTTTTTAGTCATCATACCCCCCCCATCCCAGACCATCAGGACAATCATCAATGTATCGCAACCATTTTATTGCATGTTGCTTATAGAGGAGTGGAGGGATATACCAACTCCTCTTCCCACCCCCCCCTAGATGGTAACATGCAAATGCCGGTCCCAGGGTGCTCCCAGGAGGTGCCCCATATTTGCTGATAGAGAACCCAAACTGAACCCACGAAAATTTCCAACCCCCGAAAAATTCAGTTATGGGCCTCAGCATAAATTCCAACAAGGGATGCTCCCATGGAGGTGCCCACAATTTGCTATAGAAGGACCCAGAAACTGAAAACAGTTAAGGGTCAGCATAAATTCAACAAGATCCCCAGGTGCAAATATGTCTCCAAAAAGTGGGCCACAGCTCTCCGTCCCCAAAAGTGTGGAATAAGAGGTATATAATGATTCTCCACATCAATGCCCACCAGAAGTGCGTCCTTAGGTACTTTTACATTTAGATCTTTTTCAGTACATCTCCCGTATCCCTCACATATGGATCTGAGTTCCAAGACCAGATCCTTAATTAAATCATCTACAAATTTACCTATTGGTTCCAACGGACCTCCGATAGCCGATTTACTATATCGGGCGTCCCCGTGGGTGAGTAGGATTTTTAATGTATTTTTGGAATTACATAAAAGGTGGGGATGTTATAAGCATCAACTGTCAGCATGTCACATTCCTGTTTAGTTAATAAGTTGCTTCACGTGACCAGTTCCACTTTTTTTATTTAGGGCAACCACAAAGTTTGGGGAAAGGATTATTCTGTAGTTTACGATATGTATCCGGGCTCTTCAGCTGTCTGAGTACCTCCTTTTCATATTCCACACTCTCTACGTAATACTCCACATTTCCCCCTTTGTCACTTTTTTTAATCACAATGTTTTTAGCATTCTTAAGTTCCCTAAGGGCTGTTCTTTCCCCTCCTTATAAGAATTATCGGTGTTCCTCATTGTCCAGTCTATCTTTCCAAGATCATCATGTACTAGATCTAGAAAAGTACTAGCCATTTATTTCCCTAATATTAGGCATTCTTTTAGATGGAGTTTTAAGTCTAGTGTTTCTTTTCCACTTATTTGAGACATCCAACCTCCCCAGTCTCACCACTTATGGGAGTCTCCTCAAGAAGACTAATAAGATCACTTAGTGCCTGTGTTGTTCCATCTCTGAGTTAAGGTCACAGGGATTTAGTTCTTCTCTAGTAGTATATGGAATTCTTAAAAGGATCTTTCTCAGGAAAAGATTTAGATCTTTATAGACCTCAAACAGGTCCATTTTATCCGTAAGGAGAAAAGGTCAAGCCTTTCCGTAGTAAATCATAATGTCTTTTTTTCAACGCAAAATTGGAAAGATTTATTACCTAAAGATCATTGGTTCCCCTCCTCTAGGTTAGTCTTTACCTCTTGTGGCTTCTGGTTCGATTTTGATTGGTGGTTTTAGGACAGCTATGATACTTCTTTCTTCCTTTGTCCCATTTATTTGTTTGTTTGTCTGTTTTAATATCCCCTGATTCTCGCCCAGTCGTTTTTTTTCCTCTAAAAAACTTGACAGATCTCTTATTACTTCATCATTATCTTCGCTCATTGACGAATATCATCTATTATTCCTAGAGAAATGTTTTTTGCGTTTTGATCGACTCCTTCATCCTCTGCTATTTGTTAGATCAAATATCTGGCCTTTCTCCCAGTCCTCTAGATCTCTTCTAAATTTTTGTTTTTTTGTAAATTTCAGGTTTTTTGTATTTTTTTTCTATCTCTTTTCTAAGAGAAGTCATTATGTTTAACAAACTCAGGATCGTTCTTCAGGGGATCAAGTGATTTGCACTACTCATTAATTTCACTAGAGAGTTCATTCAATTGAACCTTCCTCTTCTTCCACAATGATGTCGCATGATCTCTATGCCATGCTTTTTATACAGGCCTCTTTCCACCTTCCAGAAATCTGGGGGGTGAAGATGTTCAGCTGGAATTACTCTTTCCCTTAATCCCCTAGGAACAATTCCTCTCTCTATATATGATTCAAGGGATTGTAATACCCCACTCTTCTATTCCTAATATTTGGTAGTAAGCTTCTTATGTAATTTAAACCTAGTCTTGATGTCTCCTCATTTCCCTCTACCTGAGGGTCTAAATCTTTGTGAATGCAGATCTAATTTCAGCATCCATCCCTCATTGATCTGATTTAAGCCATTTCCCCCCCCTAATATTCTCCCTTCCCTCGATAAGGGAGGGAATACAACCTATCTTATGGATTTAGTCAAAGAATAATTTAATTATCCAGCAGTCAATGTACACCGTGCATATGTTTAAGTAAAATCAAAACCTCCAAGGTGGCAGAACAGGTTATAAGAACCTTTAAGAGAGTATGTCACAAAAATAGGGCAAAACAAGCCCTAAAATGACACTAATAGCTGGTGTCCATTTATCATATCTCCATCTCACTTGTATAAGTGTGGATCCATAAACCCAGAAAATGCATACTAAACAATATGGTAGTGTGACAAGAGCACCCCTACCTGAAAACAGAAGATTACTAAATGATCCCACGCGGAGTAATATAATTCAAAAAATTCAGACAATACTTTATTTGATCACATAGATCATAAGGAGGTTAAACATGAGCACGGTGAACATGTCAAACAAATAAAATCATGTTTTAAAAAGCACTAGGCGTCTTCATTATAGGGTCATTTTAGCAAGTAGAGCACCCATAATATGCAATATAGGGTAATGGTGAGGTAATTCTCCTAGATTTCCATGGATTTCCAGCTTTATATTAGAGTGAGCCAATGTATACAGCAGATATATTCCCAATATACGTCAGAACCTCCTGGTATGTGAAAGCTGGAACACAAAAAATCATCATTCCCCCGAACCTTCAGGGTTAAAAGCGGCCACACACCTCTAACACCTCCTGTCATATAGGTGTGAAATTGGATCTGAGCGCAGACATCTCTCCATTTCTATAGATAGAAAGTTACGGGATTTATAGGTAGCGAAGTCTATTCTGCAGCTGTGAAATATTGATAAATTTTATGGCATAACGTGCAAAAGAAGTATAAGATAGTAAAATGCCGTCCATGACATGCAACGGGTGGTGTCAGGATAATGTGCCGCCTTTATGCTTTTTAACCCTTCGCTTCCTGCACATAGGTTTATATTGACCTGAGCCCCACTATTGTACATCGGGGTCTTGTCCTAACTTTGGGGGCAGTAACCATTCAGTGTCCACCTCAGTCCCCACCCCACCTCTGCTTCTAAACAACTCCTTTATTGGTATCAGTGGGGGGAACAGTGCCCCATCATTAGTGTCAGTGGGAGGAATAGTGTGCCCCATCATTGGTGTCAGTGGGAGGAATAGTGCCCCATCATTGGTTGTCAGTGGGAGGAATAGTGCCCCATCATTGGTGGTCAGTGGGAGGAATAGTGCCCCATCATTGGTGTCAGTGGGAGGAATAGTGCCCCATCATTGGTGTCAGTGGGAGGAATAGTGCCCCATCATTAGTGCGTCAGTGGGAGGAATAGTGCCCCATCATTGGTGTCAGTGGAGGAATAGTGCCCCATCATTGGTGTCAGTGGGAGGAATAGTGCCGCATCATTGGTGTCAGTGGGAGGTATAGTGCCCCCATCATTGGTATCAGTGGTACGAATAGTGCCCCATCATTGTGTCAGTCCGTGGAGGATAGTGCCCCATCATTGGTGTCAGTGGGAGGAATAGTGCCCCATCATTGGTGTCAGTGGGAGGAATATTGCCCCATCATTGGTGTCAGTGGGAGGAATAGTGCCCCATCATTGGTGTCAGTGGGAGGAATAGTGCCCCATCATTGGTGTCAGTGGGAGGAATAGTTCCCCATCATTGGTGTCAGTGGGAGGAATAGTGTCCCATCATTGGTGTCAGTGAAGGAATAGTGCCCCATCGTTGGTGTCAGTGTGAGGAATAGTGCCCCATCATTGGTGTCAGTGGGAGGAATAGTGTCCCATCATTGGTGTCAGTGAGAGGAATAGTGCCCCATCGTTGGTGTCAGTAGAAGGAATAGTGCCCCATCATTGGTGTCAGTGGGAGGAATAGTGTCCCATCATTGGTGTCAGTGAGAGAATAGGTGTCCCAAATCATTAGTATCAGTTGGCGGAATAGTGCCCCATCATTGGTGTCAGTGGGAGGAATAGTGCTCCATCATTGGTGTCAGTAAGAAGAATAGTGCCCCATCATTGTGTAGTTTGGAGACCCCTGAGGTAGTCATATCTGATATCTAGTAGCGGGTATTATATCATTGCTGCTGGCAGGAGCAGCGAACTCTAACGATCCCAGTGACACCATATCCATATCTGCGTTGCACAGATTGGAGGCCGGGGAAGTTGTGTAATCACGTTTTTACGGGTGTAGAATCTGCGTTTTATTGGGGCCATTTTCTGGCTCTTTACGGCGAGTGTTGGAGCTGCAGATGAAGTTTATTTGAGGCTCTTATCACTTTTAAAAGCTTTTCTTTCCATTTAAATCCCGTAAAACGAATCTCATTCCAGGTAACAAGGCCGGGCCCTCCCCTCTCCGACCTTTCCCTCAGTCCGCTCCTCCGAAAAAAAAAAAAACGGGTCCTACAAGTTTGTCAAGTTTGCATCCCTATCCGACCATCTGTGCAAACTGCGGGCCGAGGAGGGCTGGTGAAGGTCTCATCCAGCGCCCAATCAGATCTCACCTTTTATCTGACCGGGGCTGGTTCTACAAATGGGGTTCAGTCAAAGACCGCCAGGAACGTACAATGCACTTCTGTACCGTCCATGATCGTTTTTTTAACAGTTCTTTTTTTAGGACCTTTGGAGGGTCCACTTTCCCCCCCCCCCAAGAAAAAAGGAGGCTCTTGGTGTACCCCCACTTTTTTCAGGGGTCTGTAGACCCCTGAAAGCAATGTCCTGCAAATACAAACACATAATGGATGGAGAGATGTAACCTGCCGAAGGATTTGTTCTTCTGTCCATCCAGTCCTCAGATTTACACAGCTCTGCCACAGCACAGTCCTGTCTGGCATGGCAAGGGATCTGATTTTTCTTTTTTCTGTGCTGCAATTCTTTTTGGCCATGGCGGGAATGACAAAGCTCCAAATGCCCGTAGCCTCCTGGGATACCCACTCCACCCATCCTAGGAGGCCAGGCCGTTTTAATGGCATCATGGGCCCCTGGGCAAAATAATTCACTGGGGTCCGATCCCTGGCGCCCACCCTGTCCTATTCATCCCATCTGATCGGAGCAGTGCACATATGCGGCAGTTCTTTTTGGCCTAGGCGGGAATGACAAAGCTCCGAATACCCGTAGCCTCCTGGGATACCCACTCCACCCATCCTAGGAGGCCAAGGCCGTTTTAATGGCATCATGGGCCCCTGGGCAAAATAATTCACTGGGGTCCGATCCCTGGCGCCCACCCTGTCCTATTCATCCCATGTGATCGGAGCAGTGCACACAAGAAGCAGCAGTGGTGGTAAGATACTCTGCCTTGGGGGTTCTTCCTTAACCCCTCAGCTCACATTCTGGGACAGAAGACACAGCCATCCTGGGACGGCTTAGTAAAAATTGCGACTGTCCCGGCAAAATCGGGACGGCTGACAAGTGTGATGCAATGCAAGATTATCATGGGACCCCCATGCACCTTGCGCCCATGCGTTAAGATGGCTTTGGGTGATAAGCCCCATACTGCGCATGTGCTGAGATATGTCAAGCATGGCCACAGCGCATCATCAGGGGGGGGGCGGCAGGAAGTGGCAGCGCTGATGCTTGAAGAGAAGGCGAGTTGGGCGTGTCCTGACGAGTGGTGACCGAGCAAAAAATGACAGCAAGATTCACCGGGCAGGAATGTTTTTTCAGGACATCCCAATGGACAAGGTAGGATGGGGTGGGAAAAAGTCTAGATTCAGATCGTTGTGTGTTGGGAACGAGCGCAAAATCGTGCAATTTCCCCGACACCCAGAGAAACGCATTGCCATTCAGCAGATGTGTGTCGGTAATGGCATCCCCACGCATCTGCAAATGCCGCACCATGCGCTTCAGTGAGTTCGAAGAGGCGGGGACTTCTTTTCCATGTTTCTCGCGTATAGGCAGGTCATTGAAATTAGTGGTCCGCCCCACACGGGATGCGTGGAAAAGCATCCGCACTTGGCATGGTGTGAACCAATCCGGCACCATCTATTAACCACTTCCGGTCCGGACACTTTCCCCCCCTTTCCGGTCCGGACACTTTCCCCCCCCTTTCCGGTCCGGACACTTTCCCCCCCTTTCCGGTCCGGACACTTTCCCCCCCTTTCCGGTCCGGACACTTTCCCCCCCTTTCCGGTCCGGACACTTTCCCCCCCTTCCGGTCCGGACACTTTCACCCCCTTCCGGTCCGGACACTTTCACCCCCTTCCGGTCCGGACACTTTCACCCCCTTCCGGTCCGGACACTTTCACCCCCTTCCGGTCCGGACACTTTCACCCCCCTTCCGGTCCGGACACTTTCACCCCCCTTCCGGTCCGGACCTCCACACTTTCACCCCCTTCCGGTCCGGACACTTTCACCCCCCTCCCGGTCCAAACACTTTCACCCCCCTCCAGTCCGGACACTTTCCCCCCCTTCCAGTCCGGACACTTTCAGCCCCTTCCAGTCCAGGCCAATTTTTAGCTTTCAGCGCTGTTACACTTTGAATGACAATTGCGCGGTCATGCAACACTGTACCCATATGAAATTTTTAGCATTTTTTGGAGACGGATAAAACTTTATTTTGGTGGTATTTATTCACCACTGGAATTTTTATTTTTTTTGCTATATAAATGAAAAGTCCAAAAATTATGAAAAAAATAATATAATTTTGCAAATAAATAATCTTTCTTCATAAGTCTTGGCCAAAATTTATTCAGTTATCTTCTTAGTTAAAAAAATAACCCAAATTAATTTATTACCAAAAATGATAATTTAAAGAACATTTTTTTTTTTTTTTTTTACATTGTTATTTATGTTTTTTTATTTTTAACATACCATCACCATGGTGACACTGTACTACTTGTGGGGGGTGATGAAGAATTTTTTTTTTACACTGATTGCTTTTACACCCATAAAGGCTGTAAAAGCAGTCATTTCTCCCTCTCTCTGGCTGCATTCTTGCAGCCATTGAGAAATATTGTGTGAGCTGTGATTGGTCACAGCTTGTCACATGGTACAAGGCTGTTGTGAATAGCCCTGTACCATGTGATCTCTGTGATCATTCACAGATTTCACACGTAGTAAGCAATGACGGAAGAAGTGACATCGTGCTTACTACTATTCATGTGATCACTGAATAGTCACTTGCAACCTATATGGGGTTAACTGACCTCTCCACAAAAAATTAAGTTTTAAAGCATGCCGATGATCCCCGCAGGATGGATCGGATCTGCGGATTGAGCATAATTGATCAGACTCCGATCCATTATGCTCAATCTGCAGATCCGATTAAATCCTGCGGGGATCGTCGGCTTGCTTTAAAACTTACCTTTTCGTAGAGTGGGTCCGGTGTCACCCCATGCGATAGGTGTCACACAGTGTGGCATGCCCCCCCCTGCACATGCCTAGGGACAGGGGCGGACTGACAACTCATGGGGCCCCCGGGCAATAGGGGATTATGGGGCCCTGTGTCCTCGCCCAAACTCAAAAAAGCCTATGAAAAAGGTACCAGGGGCATCTCATGGGGCCCCCTACTGACCCCGGGCCCTTGGGTAGTGCCCGAGTTTCCAAATGGTCAGTCTGCCCCTGCCTAAGGACACCATGGCCGGCAGGGAATCACCAGCCAGGACGCGGTGATTGACGGCCAGGGCCACGAATGGCGGCGCGGGTAGGGCGCGCGTGCCCCCTACCTGGATATGCACAATCACACATAAATATATATTCGTGATTTTGCACACCCCTGCCTCCCTGTAGCAGTATTTCTTCTATACGGCGGCGCGGAACTGGCCATGTGACTAAAAAAAATGCTCCAAAAACGCAACCGTGGGTGCGTGTTTGATGCGCTCCTTGCTGCGCTTTCACTGTGTTTCCCATTCATTTCAACGGGGAGGTGCGTTTTTCTTTTTTTACCGCACCAAAAATGCAGCAAGCAAGACTTCAAAAAGTGTCAGACAACCGGCCAGCGCGAAGAGTTCCGCGGTCATGCGTTTTTCTTACGCTTTTTTTATTGCAAAAAACGGAATCAAAACCGATCTGTGTGAAAGCAGCCTTGAGGTCAGGAGGGTCCCAGCCGTCACCTTTCTCTGGGTGAAATATTGACGATGCATCGCCCACGCTCTGGAACCATCTGCGATTTATGGAATAAGCCCCCGGGTCACGTATTCCTCGCACCAACAGAGGCGGCGGCGGGGATGGCGTGACCCTTGGTGGCACACGGGACATCGCACGCACTCGGGACAGGGACCATGCCGGCGTGAACTGGCCCGGTGAGGCTGCAGCTGAATTCCTTGTTTAGTCGCCCGGGGCCAAGAAACACTGCGGGGGGAATGTTGTCACATCAGTGTGGTGTCTGTTTACAAATGACACTGCAGATCGAAGATCAATGACGTCATGATTTACCGCCCCTCTGTTCCATCGCACGTGCCATCCCTTATCTGCTACAGATGAGACATGGGGTGCTATGTACTAAGACCAGACCGGGAGCCCGAGATCATGGAGATGAGAAATGTCAAACAAACAAATATTAGTTATTGAATGGTAAGCCCCATTCACACCATTCTGTCCCACATGGAAGAAAGTATATTTGAAATATATTTCAAAAATATTCTTCCCAAATATATTGAAATATATTTGAAATACTACAATTTTGGCCGCATTCAATATATTTCAATTAAAAAAAAAAAATAATATATATATACAGTATATTATATATATATATATATATATACACACATTCATATAAAACCCTCTGTTTGTCAAAAAGGGATCACTTGGACATAGTTGGCCAGAGAGGGATCACTTTGATGCAGT